CTCCATACCTTTTCAACCTACATGATCATTCGGGAGGCTGGGCTTTATGAAGGGGCATCAGGATTGGAGGAAGATTCCTTAACAACCTACATTATGCAGATAATGCAACCCTGCTTGTTGAAACTGAGGAGGATGTAAAGCATTTGCTGCAGAAGGTCAAGGACTGTAGTCTTCAATACGGATTGAAGCTCAACATCAAGAACACAAAGATTCTCACCACTGAGCCAATCAGCAGCGCCATGAGAGGAGACAGCTTGCTTGGCTCCACAATCAACATTCCTGGCATCAGCAGTCAGGAAATCAAAAGACAAATCGCATTAGGTAAATCTGCTGTCAGGGACCTTTCCAGATACTGAGAAGTAACAATGTCAGTCTAGAGACTAAAGTACACCTGACCCAGCCCATCAAATTTGCAGTTGCTTACTATGTACCAGAAAGCTGGACAATGACTATGGATGACAGAAGAAGAATCATTGCCTTTGGGTTATGATGCTGGAGAAGATAATTTAACATACCAGAGACTGCCAAGAAAATAAAACCATATGTTCTGGAGAGGATGCAACCAGGTTGTTCTTTGGAGGCAAGAAATTATTCTTTTTTTTTTCCTTTTTAATTAAATTTTATTAGTTTTCATGAACATTTACAGAGCTTTTGGGTTTTCATTCATTCATCGTTGCACTGTTTTCTCCACCCTCATCCCCAGTTCATTCTTCTCCCCGCCCCCGTCTGTTTTAATTGTCCAATTGCCACACTGCTTGTCAAAGCCAGTTCTGATTAATCTCCTTTGTCAGTGTGTCCCTTGCCATTCCCTATCACTCCTCCCTGAGAGAGACTTCACCCTGATTCATAAGGAAAAGGGGATGGCGTATTCTCTTAGCTACTTCCTGCTGAAAAGGGACGCTGTGGGTTTCAGGGTGAAGGTCTTCTCTCACTACTCCAAGGAGGCAAGAATTTCTAAGGCTCTATCTCACATATTTTGTGCATGTGGCGAAGAGGGATCAGTCCTTGGAGAAGGACATCATGCTTGGAAGAATGGAGGGACAACACAGGAGAGGAAGACCCCAGATGAGATGGACTGACGCAGTACCAGGGGTAATGGAGGTAAGGCTCAGGATAGGGCAAGGTTGAGAGCTATTGTGCATAGGATTGCACATAACAACAACTTGAGTGAACTTCAACATGTCACTTAAACTTGCGGAGCCACTATTACCTCACCTGTAAAATGGAAATAATTTCTACTTTTGGAAAGTGTTATGAGGAATGAATGAGATCAATGGTGCAGAGCACTCAGCACAGAGTCCTTAAACATTTGTAGGTGTTAAGAGCTGCTATTGGTGAATACATGTATTGCTGGAAAAATAGCAAGGAGCACACTTCCTCTTATGGAGAAAAATTTGAGATCAGAGCCATTTAGATGGGAGGGATTATGGAGGGAAAGATTAAAAACCCTATTTAATTGTTCAATCAATAGTGTCCTCTAAAGAAACCCAACAGCACAGAAGCTGAGAAAGCTCACTTGGAGAAGAGGGAATTATTTTCAAACCATCAACCAAGCTGAGAAGGAGACTTCATTTAGAGGAACAGTTCTAACTAGACACCCACTAGCACACTCTGTGACAACTCCCAAGATACTTCATCCAACATGTTGCTCTGTGGTTTACCTTCAAGTTATTCCTTTCAAAGAGTAGAATAATTTTATTAGATACCTTTCACCTGACACTACTTAAGCCTATTCTCAGGATGTACAGCCAAAGGGCAAGGTTAAGAGGTTAGCCCTTGAAACAAGATGGACTACTTGATTTATCCTATGAAAGAGAGCTGCACATAGGTGGAGAAAAGATTGAGACTGTCAACAATTTCAGCCTGCTTGGTTCCACAATCAACACTCCTGGCAGGAAATCAAAAGACGAATTGCATTGGAAAAAATCTGTCAGGGACCTCTCTACAGTACTGAAGAGTAACAATTTCTGTCTATAGACTAAGGTGCACTTGATCCAAACCATGGTCTTTGCAATTACTTGCCATTTTCGAAAACAGTCTGGCAGTCCTTAAACACGGAGTTACTATATAATACAGCAATTCTATTCCTATATATCTCTATATATCTATCTCCAAGGGAATGAAAAACCTATTTCTACAAAAAACCTGTATACAAATGTTCATATCATTATCCATAACAGCCGCAAGTGGAAAACCTAAATATCTATGAGGTGATAAATGGATAAGCAAGATGAAATTATGTTAATACAATGGAATAGTAATGGGCAATAAAAGGGAATAGAGTTCTGATTTAAACTGTAATACTGATAAACCTTGAAAACATTATGCTAAGTAAGAAAAGCTAAACATGAAAAGCTACACATCTTACATTCCATTTACATGATATATCCACAATAGACAAATTCACAGAAACAGAAAGTATACAAGTGTTTAGCCAGGGACTGGGGAAAGGGAAAATTTAAGAGTCACTGTTAATGTGTTGTTGCTAAATTGTTGCTGTTGTTATGTACCACTGAGCTTGAATCAACTCATGACTGACTCTCCAGCGAGTTTTCAGAGGCAGTAATTTGTACAGGAGGAGACTGTCTATTTTTCTTCCATAGAACAGCTGGTGAATTTGAACCACGTGCCTTTGGGTTGGCAGCACAACTCCTTACCAGAGCTCCCTGTAAATTGCTATGATGTTTCTCTTTTGAATGATAAAAAAAAAATTCTGAAATTAAACAGTGGTTGAATGGTATGTCCAAGAGGATATAATGATGTCCCAATCCCTAGACCCATAAATGTGACCTCATATAAAAAAAGGGTCTCTGCAGACACAATTAAATTAAGGATCTTAAAATGAAATCATCCTGGATTATCTGGACAGGACATAAAATCTAACTACTGGCCTCATAACAGAAAAGTAGAAAAAGGCTGGAAACAGAAAAGGAAAAGGCAGTCTGATGACAGAAGCAGAATTTGGAATGATGTTATTGTCCATAAACCAGAGAACACCAGGATCATCAGAGACTGGAAGAGCAAGGAAAAAAAAATGTTCCTTAGAGCCTCTGGAGGGAGTGTTGTCTAATGAAGCCTTCATTTTTTTAATTGTGGCCTATAGGATTTTGCAGTGTTAAGCCTAGTGTTGGCATTTTTAGCCATTACCTTAACTGTGGACACATTGGCTTCGTTAAATAGCAAGGTCTCATAAATCAGCAACAGCTAGAGGATCAGCACCAGGAGCACTCTCCACACTGGGGTGAATTTGGAAAACACCAACACATAAGGCAGCATGTTTGTACTTAAGCATCCAGTGTGGTCTATTGCTCACCAATTTCTGTGAAAAAACCTGCCTGCATATCTGCAATCATGTAAGTCATTCCCCTGATAGATCTAAGTTTCTGTAGGTCCTTCAAGCGAATCTTTTCACCAAACCCAAAAGATCACAGAGGAACTGGGGAAGTGAGCCACAGAGGGAGCGGTTACTACCAGACATTATGGATTCATATAACTGGATGAGCATTTGCGATTAAGGCTGAGACTTCTGATTAATAGTATGCTCTTAATCTTAGTGCACAGTATAATAAAAACAAATTGTAAGAGAAAATATTTCTGTTGTTATAAGTGGACAACTTATGTTAATTTGTTACAGCAGCTCTAGGAAATGGATAGAGTGATGATCGATGGACAACTTCATGAATATACTAAAACCCCTTAAAACTGTATATAAGTTAAAAGGGTGAAGGATGTAAAATGTTAATTATATTTCAATGTTATTGTTGTTGTTAAGTGCTGTAGAGTTATAGATGACCCATAATGACCCTATGTATGAAAGTCTTGAACACAAAACTTTCACCTTTTCTCCAAGTTCATAGAGTTTCCTAGAGGCAAGCGCCTTTTTTTTTTTTTTTTTGGAAGTGGACGCCAATCCACAAAAAGCAGGCCCAAGGGCCCGGAAGCCCTTTAAAATACAAGGCCAAATCCAATCAGCTCATGGGTACCCTATTGTGAACAACAGTCACACTCAAGTCTCAGCCCCAAACCAGAAAATACATCTTAGCAGAATCTGGCTGTTCTGCTCATCTTCCCAGCCTGAAATAGCCTTATATTTCAACAGAGCTATTAAAAAGATACATATGCATACCAAAGCTCACATATCAGAAAACAATAAATTCACAGGCTGAAGTAGAGTGATAATCTATCGTCCTTTCTCTAGTATACTAAGGTGCTGCTACTGCCCAATATGAGAAAGAATGTATGCTCCGTAGGTGCTCATTTATTAGTGAGGATAAGAGTTCTCAAGCAGATCCACATTCTTGCAACATGCTAGGATGACATTTACTAGGGGAATGGTAGGACATTTCAAGTCTGTGTGTATAGTATCCTGGTGCATGCTTGAGATTCTCCCTCTCCCATTATTAAGTCAATATCCAACAGGGAGCCTTGCCAAAAGGATTAACTGCACAGTAGGAAAGGAAAATGAGCCAGTCCACCAAGAAAAAAGAGAGCTCATAAAGAACAGTCACGTGTTCAGGAGTTTACAGTGAGAGCATCTGGTTAATCTCCCTCCCAAGACTACAAGTAACAGTCTTTAAATGGAAAGCTCGGCATGCTTCTAAGAAAGCAGGATGAGCCTGGAGAAGGTCTCCAGGAGTGAGACTAGATGTCCTTAAATGATTTTATGTCAGAGACAGGAATACATACACATTGGCCTTGGAATCTAACTGCTTTCTAAGACAGCCATCATGGACTCCAAGGGTCCTACATAAAAGTGGTGCTAACCACAAACCTAAAGGGATTTGAGTACACGGAAGCAGTGAACATCGTTCTTTGACAATTAGATTAAAAACTACATTCTGTAATAATGAGTGTAGCATGATCTTAGGAGGTTACTCAGACCTACTTTGGGCACCTGGGATTCTAGGATTCTATGTAACCTTGATTTCCTAAGTTCTGAAGCATGTGTGCAGCCAAAATAGCCCATGAAAAAATATTGTTTCTACACTGTCAGACCTTACCTCCACACATCACTGCCTTTGGAAAACATAGAGGCACGAATCACCTCAGGGGCCATCCAAGCATACGTCCCTGCGGCACTCATCTTGGTGGTTCGGTGCCATTCACGAGCCAGGCCAAAGTCAGTGATCTTCAGGATCTTGTTGCTCAGGTCTCCATTCTCCACCTTCTGGAGGATCAATACTAGGCAAGGAAAGGAATACAGAAGAAAAGAGATCTGGCATTAATCACAGGGAAACCACTGAATACACCACAGTTCTCCTGTTCTCTTCTGGGTCTCTCCTACACGATCTCTAAGGGAAGGTGTGCACCTGGATGTATCCTTCCTTCACACCTATTCAATTTGTGTGCTGAACTATTCATATGAGAAGGTATCTAAAGTAGAATGAGACATCAGGATTGGAGGAAGACTTATGAACAACTTGCATTATGCAGATGACACAAGCTGCCTTGCTGACAGCGAAGAGGGCTTGACATGCTTGCTGCAGAAGAGCAAAGTCTTAGAGGTGGATTACATCCCAATATCAAGAAAACAAAAATCCTCACAAGCAGAATGATAGACAATATCATGAGAGATAAGGCAGAATGTCAGAGAAAGAGAGGATGACGCTCAACAAGATGGACTGACACAGTGACTGTAACAATGGACAATGGCACAGGATAGAGGAAGGTTGTTCATAGGGTCCTTATGAGTTGTAGTAGACTTGATAACATCACCACTACCAATGGATCTCTTGTGGATTATTGTTAAGAACTACCATTTCTTAAACTCCTACAATGCATTTAGCTTCGTACCAAGTATCACTTTAAATCCTAGCAATAATTTTATAATTTTATAAGGCAGGGACCATTGCCGTCTCCATTTTACAGATGAGGAAACTGAGAGCTAACACCATCAAGCAAATTTCTCAAAGTCTTTCAACTAAGAAGTAAAGACATGGAAATCTGACAGACTCTACATCCCATTCTCTTAACCTCGAAACCATAAGGCTCACTCACATCCAGGGGTGGGGGGACGGGGAGAGCTGTGGACCCACAGTTGGCTCTTATGAGAAGGGCTGCTTGGACATCCTTCTGCTAGGTGGCCCTGGAATGTGACCCTGTGTGGACCGCTGTAGTGCATTAGCTGTCTTAGCTCTATTAGGGTACCAATTAATGCACCTCTCACACATAACAGTTCCAGTAACAAGGGCAACCTCAGAAAGCTTTATTATGTATATTTCAATACAGTTTTTTCAAAATGCACTCTGTGGGAGATAATCCTCAAAAGAGTATAAGGAGTTCTGTCTGATTGAGCACCAGCTAGATCTTTGGAAATATGAAGATCAAGCTTTTATTTTCAAGAGTGGTATGGAGTCCTGGGTCAATGCTATTAGGGAACTTTGGAGGAAATAGCTGATGACTTAAGTTAAAAAAAAAAGAGTCATTGAAATTCCTGTCACAGATCTACTCTGACACAACAGGTCATTATGAGGACTGGAAGCACTTGCCACAGAAGATCAAAGACTACAACCTTCAATATGGATTACATCTCAACATTAAGAAAACAAAAATCATTACCATTGGATCAGTAGGCAACAGCATTAAGGATGGAGGAAAGATTAAAGTTGTCAACAATTTCATTTTACTTGGATGTTCAATCACCTTCCATGGGAACAAGAGTCAATAAAGACATGTTGCAATGGAAACACCTGCTATCAAGGACCTCTCCAAAGTGATACAGAACAATGGCATCCGTTTACAGAGGAAGGTGTTAAGGAATTCACTTAACAACAAGTGGTACTTGGATGGTTCCAAAGACTGTGAAAGCATAGCGCCTCATGGGCCAGACACTGAGTCACATGGAATTCACAGATCTCAGTCTATAGGATTTTCGAGACAGAAGAAGGCTATCACCCCTGTCATTCATAGCTGAATAGGAGAATGTGGAGAAAAGAATCTTTTGAAGACAGAACAACAACTTGAAAAATGTTGACTCGGTTGCCCCGTCCAACTAACTGGGAGCCCTGCTTGTCCTTCATGCTGCTTCCTAATAGAACAACACTGCGCTTAGGGATTCCTTATTCCCTCCACCACAAGGCCCTTATGAAGGTTTCACCTCCCTTACAGGTATCTGTGAGTATCTCTGGTGGTTATCATCCTAGGTGGTTAAGTACCTGGATGCTATGTGAAAGGTTGGCAGTTTGAAACTATGTGCTGCTCTGCAAGAGAAAGGTGGGACTATCCATTTCTTTAACAATTACATTATTCTTTTAAAAATTATTTTTATTTTATATTGGTTTACATAAAAATTTGTATACATTGTGTTTCATTTATATATACATTGTGTTTCACACGATCAGTCCCAAACATTGTGTTTTATAAGTCATCATCATTGATCTATGCCCACTATGATTCTGTCTTTTAGGATCCCCAGTGGATATTTCCGAATTCCTTCACTCCTTCCCTCTGCCCACCAAACTCTGCAACCTCGTGATTCTCCCCTCCTGTTCAAGAAGGTAGTAAACAATAAATACTGGCGAGCATGTGGAAAAAACAGGAACTCTCATTCACTGCTGGTGGGAATGGCAAATGGTACAATTACTATGGGAGATTGTCTAGTGCTTTCTTAAAAAAGCTGGGAATAGAAATACTATTTGACTCAGCTAACACACTAATTGTATGCTGAAACTGAGGAGGACATGAGACATATGCTGCTGAAGGTCAAGGACTATAGTCTTCAAAATGGACTGAACCTCAACATCAAGGGGAAAAAAAGATCTCACTACTAGGCCAAATAGCAGCTTCATGATAGACGAAGAAGAGATTGGGATTAACAACTTCCGCTTTCTTGATTCCACAATCAACACTCTTGGCATCAGCAATCAGGAAATCACAAGAGGAAATGGATTGGGCAAAATCTGCTGTCAGGGACCTCGCTAGAGTCCTGAAAAGTAATGATGTCAGTCTGGAGACTAAGGTGCACCTGATACAAGCTATCGTCTTTGCAATTACTTGCTATGAATCAGAGAGCTAAACAACAACTAGTGATAATAGAAAAAGGATCGATGCCTATGAGTTGTGGGGCTGGAGAAGAGCACTGAAGATACTGTGGACTGCCAGGAGAACAAATGGGTCTGTCCTGGAGGGGGTAAAACTAAGGTGGTCCCTGGAGGCAAAAATTTGGATGCTTAGTCTCACTTACTTAAGGCATGTGGCTAGGAGGGACTAGTCCTTGGAGAAGGACATTATGCTTGGAAGGGTAGAGGGACAGCACAGGAGAGGAAGACCTCCGATGATGAGATGGACTGACACAGTAACTGGAGAAATGGGATTAAGTCTGTTGGAGGCAGTGAGATTGGTGCAGGATCGTGCAGGGTTCTAAGCTAATGTACACAGGGTTGCTATGAGTCACAGGTGATTTGATGGCATATACCAAACAACTACATTCCACTACTGGGAATATATCCTAAAGAAATGAGACCCAAGGCACAAACAGATGTACTGCACAGCATGGCCATTGCTGCATTATTCATAATAGGAAGGAGAGAGAGGGAAGCAGCCCAACTGCCTGTCAACAAATGAATGGATAGAAAAACTGTGGTATATCTATAGAATGGAATATTACACAGGACTGAAAAACAACACACTTATAAAACACCACACAACATGGATGAGTCTGTGATATATTATACTGAGTGAAATATCTCAGTAACAAAAGGAAAATACCACATAAGACTGCTGTTATAAAATAGGACAGACACGGGGTGGTGGTGGTAGGGAGAACAGGAGAAGAGTGGACAGCTAATGAACTCTGCATGTGAACAGATGAATGAAAGAACTAACTGAAAGAAAGGGTTGACGAGGTACTAACTGGACAATTAACAATCTGGAATAAGAAGTACACTACAAAGTTAACTGGGAGAAGGGTGTGGGAGGAGTGAAGGGAAGAGAATAAGCACTGATGAGTGAATGAAAACTCAACCTTTCTGCAAACTTCCATTAAAATCACAATAAAAAATAACAAACAAATCAATAATACCAAAACTGAACCCAAGTCCATCAAGTCAGTTCTAACACATAGTGATCTGACCCTCCCCTGGGTTTCTGAAGCTAGAAATCTCAATGGGAGGAGACTGGCCATTTTCGCCTGTGAAACTGCTGGTGGATTCAGACTGCTGATCTTTTGGTTCACAGTCTGAAACATACAATGCTGACTTTGACATCTTTCTCCTATGGAGCCGCTATTGGGTTCAAACAACTAGTTTTTCACCTATCTATCAGTTGAACACTTAGTCACTGCACTACCAGGGTTCTATCTAAGGTATTCCAATTTCAGTCAAGATCCTTGGGCTGATCGCTGCTCATCTCCATCCTTCTGTGATCTTTGTTCAGTTACCTAACAAACTAATCCGCCTTTAAAAACCTATTCTGATATTACGTAACACATCTTTAAAAGTCTATATTATGTTATGACAGGGCACTACCAGAAATGCAAGCTGGGTTCAGATGAAGTCAGGGGACAAGGACTTGCATTGCTGATTATCAGATGGATCCTGAATGATGGATGGCTGAAAGTAAAGAATACCAGAAAGATATCTGTGCCTTACTGACCATGCAAAGGCACTGGACTGTATGGATCTTAACAAATTACAAGTGAAAAGGAATCACAGAACACTTAACTGTGCTTTTAAGAAACCTGTACGTGGTCCAAGAAGCAATTGTTAAAACAGAACATGGGATTTTAATGGCTCATTTTTCAGAAGGAGATTGTCAGTACTTTTTTTCCAAGATATCTCTGGGTAAACACGAACCTTCAAACTTTAATTTAGCAGACAAGGAGGTTAGCCATGTGCACCACAGTAGGATTCCATTTTAATAATAGTGTTCTGGGGACCAGACAAGGATGCCCACTATCACCACTTCTATTCAATATTGTATTGGAAGTACTTGCTAGGGCAATATGACAAGAGAAGGAAATAAAAGGCATCCTGTTCGGCAAAGAGATGGTTAAACTGTCACTATGTACAGATGATATGATAGTGTACACAGATAATCCCAAAGACTCAAGAAAAAAACTGTTAGAACTAGTAGACCAATTTAGTAGAGTGGCAGAATACAAGATCAACATCCAAATATCAGTGGGATTCCTCTACAGTAACAAAGAAAACTCAGAGAAGGAAACCAAGAAAGTAATACTACTT